ACAATTTTCTTTTTTACGAAACAATTACTTTCAACTTGAAAAAAATGAAAAAATTACCATGTCAAGAAAACTTACCAAGTATTTGACTGAAACCTTTGTAGTAGAAAGTGGTCTATTTGATGAAAATTGCAACGTTCACTTGGATTGCGAGACCTTCAAATGGACACGTACCTAAAATAAAAACAAATTACTTAAAATTCATTTTTTAATTATCTTTTATTTTTTTCTCTTTTTTTTTCTTTTTCTTTTTTTTTGTCCTTTCTTCTTGGCCGGTCGCCGGTCCGGTGACCGGCGAGCTCGCCTGGGCAAGTTCTGGGCGACCTAGAGCTCGCCAGCAGCGAGGCTGGCCCTAGCCGGCACCGGCGAGGGCCGAGTTCGCCAGCGGCGAGGCTGGCCCTAGCCGGCACCGGCGAGGGCCAAGCTCCGCCGGCCATGGCGAGCTCGGCCCTCGCCCGATGCCGGCGAGGGCCAGCCAATCCGCCCGGCCGAGCAGAGGTCGCCCGGATCTCGCCGAGTGCGGGCGGCCGGAGCTCGCCGGCCATGGCAAGCTCGACCCTCGCCGGCCATGGCGAGCTCGGCCCTCGCCGGTGCCGGCGAAGGCCGGCCTCGTCGCCGGCCGGGGAGCCGAGCTCGCCATGGCCGGCGAGCTTGGCCGGCGAGCTCGGCCGGCGAGCTCGCCCAGATCTCGAGCTTGGCCGGCGAGGCCCATGTGAGGCTAGCCCACCTGCGCGTCGGCGAGGTCGACCAACGGCCATGGCCAGGCCACTGGACCTCGCCCCATGGCCAGCGATCGGCCAAACCAGTAATGAAGGGAAAAAAAAATTTTAATAACACCAACAAATACAAATCCAAAGATGAATAATTTTGCGATGAACCGTTTTCGTCGCCAATTATTCATGAAATTAGCCACGACACTTACCGGCGAAAAAGCTTTACCGAGATTGATTTGCGCGTGCACCGATAAGTAATTCGAGAAAAATGAAAGAGAGAGACGGAGAGAGAACAGCGAGGGGATAAGAGGAATCAGTCGACAGAGAGAAATTGGGGGTCGGGACGGATATCAAAAAAATCATTTTTCGTGTCGCAAATTTGCCACTAATAAAATTCATCGGAAATTTCCGACGAAAATTTTTTCGTCGCCAAAATTCGTCGGAAATTTGCGACGAAAAAATTTTTGTTGGAAAATTTTGTCGGAAATTTGCGACGAAAAATATTTCGTTGGAAATTTGCTACGAAAAGTGTTTCGTCGGAAATTTGCGACAAAAATTGTAAAAATATTTCGTTGGAAAATTTCATCGGAAATTTCCGACGAAAAGTGTTTCGTCGCAAAAATCGTCGGAAATTTGCGACGAAAATTGTTTCATCGGAAATTTCCAACGAAAAATATTTCCGACGATTTTATTTTTCGTTGGAAATGTCATTGCAAATTTCCAACGAAAATTTTTTCGTCGGAAATTTTCGTCGGAAAAACCCCCTTTTTTGTAGTGTTAGGATGCACTAATACATGGAGAGCTTTATCACTATTGATCTAATGTATGAAGTAAAAGATTGATGTTAACTTCTGAGACCTTAATGAAGGTGAACAAGTCAAAGAACAGAAAGTTCATGACGATTTGGAGGCATTATAACTAGGTGAACAAGTCTCAGATATACTTAGGAAGGAAGATAAAGTAGAAGGTTGTATATAAGTCAATTACCGGTGACATTCGTTGTTGATAGAAGCGGTTCCTTATAGTACTTGAGAAGAACATTTGCATTACAGATTTATACATTATAATTTGAAGACCCAAATATTCCATCGACTATAAATCCAATTATCAAGGAATATTGACAGCAAACCATCGGTCTGAAACTTCGAAAAAAGATACACAAAGAAGAATCCAATCTATTTTTTAGTAAATTTGGTGGAAATGATTATTTCCCAATATAAGCAACTTTATTTGTGAAAAACACACTATTGCTCGGAAGATATGATTGAATGGACAACCAAATCTCTTGGTAATTGTGTTGTTTATCTTCAACAAATAAATTGATCCTCCTAAAAATTATCTAACGGTTAGCTTGGATCTTGAAGACTACATAAGAAGATCAGTGCATGCTAAAGAAGACACGAATTGCAAGAATGACTACAAACTTAGAACGCTTTATTCTTTGATATACTTATACTCTTGTTATTGAGAGAGAATATCATTTACTGAGAGTGCTTCACTGATTGTACTTCTCTTTTGAAAGTGCATGAGTGTTTTAACAATGGTTGGGATTTGGTATTGTGATCTAGCAAGGGAAAATGATGCTACAAGTGCCAAAAATTTGTACGGCACTCATTTGAATGCCAAAACTTTTCTTTTGATCACTTGAGTGCCATAACTTTCATACAGCGCTCACTTGAGTGCTATAACTTTTTTTTCGATCACTTGAGCGCTATGACTTCCAAAAAATGTTAACTTGGATGCTGTAACTTCCAATCAATTACTTGAGTGCCATAATTATTAAAAGATGTTCACCTAAGTGTCAGAAATTCAATGTGGCATAGCACTTGTGCTTTACGTTTTTAAAAAGTCATAGAACTCAAGTGATCGATTGAAAAATTATATGATACTCAAGTATCATAAAAAAAAATTGATGTTACTCAAGTAAGTACCGTACAAATGTTATGCCACTTGTGGTGTTCTTATCCAAATCTGCCAACTTTGGGTAGAAGCATTACAGGTTACGTTGTACCTCTCAAATAATTACTATTGGATTCTAGCTTGTTGTTGGATGGACATAGGCTTGATCTAAGCCGAACCATTATAAGATTTGCTTGCAACTCTTCTATTTCTCTCTATTCATTTCCACATTTATTTGGTAGAAGCATACTGCACTTGATATCATCTGCTCACTCTTGCATATCTTAAATAGTTCCTGCATGTATCCACTTGATTTTATTTATTCCAGCAAAATATATTACGTTTCAATTATCAACCTATTAACCCCCTCTAGGTTGCATGTTTAGCTGTAACAATTAATAGTCATTAAACTTGGCCAAATACGTAATGTCATCATTTGACTTTTAATTTGTTTAAAGTAATCATTTAGTTTCCTAAATGTTTAATCTAGCCCCTAAACTTTCATTTGTTCAATTTAGTCCATCAACTTTCCACAACATAGTCAAACTAGTCATGGGTACTATTTCACGAGTTTTCATCATTACAACATTTCCCAAATTTTAGAATATCGTTTCATTTCAATACATTTCCTAAATCAACAAAAATATGCTTTTTTTTTACCCTTTTGAGCTTTATAAATGTTTTCGACCCAAAAAAAAACGATCTTTATAAATGTTAGGATAGTTCCATTAAGGAAGAGGACACCAATAATCCTTAAACTTTATCCCAATATGCAATATCATCATTGTACTTTTAATTTGTTCAATTTGATTCTTGACTATTCCTAAATGTTTAATCTAGCCCCTAAATTTTCAAATTGTTCAATCTAGTCCCTCAATTTTCTATAACAAAGTCAAACCAATCATTCAATACTATTTCACACGTTTTCATAATTACATTATTGCCAATATTCTAGAATATTTTTCAATTTCAATAATTTCCTAAATCAATCAAAAATATGATATCTATTTCGTGACATCTTTATCCTTCTAGTCTTTATAAATGTTATAATAGTTCCTTAGGACAAATGGCACTAATAGTTCTTAAACTTTGGCCTCATGTGCAATGTCATTCTTGAAATTTTAATTTGTTCGAAGTGGTTATTAAACTATTTCTAAATTTTTAATCTATCCCCTGAGTCCATCAACTTTCAATAATAATGTCAAATTAGTCATTCGATACTATTTCATAAGTTTTGGTAATTATACAATTGCTCAAATTTTAGAATATCTTTTAGCTATCAGTTCAATCCATTTCTTGAATCAACAAAAAAAAAAAATATGTTGTCCTTTTTATTACCTTTTTACCATTTTGGTTTTTATACTTGTTAAGACTGTTGATTTAGGGAAAACGATACTAATGGTCCTTAAACTTTGGCCTAATATTGCATGACATCATTAGACTCTTAATTTGTTTAATGTGTCTTGATATCTAAATTTCCGTTCAAATATCTTTTCATTTATCTCACGAGAAAAACTATGGATTGAATCCATGAAAACTAAAATAATAACATAAGAGAGTTTTTTGTTTATTACACAGAGCAAAGGCACTACCAACCTAACAGAAGTAGATAAATAGTTTCACCTAAGAAAAAGGCGTTAGAAAAGTCCATATTTGTCCCCTATCACTTTCATGCAACAAGTGGGTGAAATATATTAGAGTGAAATATATTGTACAAGTGTACCAGTTTGAGGTTTTTCATGGTTAAAAAATTAATCTTAGATAAATTTATCACGGCTGTACCGATTTGAGGTCCTATTACAGTTACCAGTTCTGAAATAAGTCCACATGCACCGTCATCAAGTCAGGAATCGCACATGAAAGGAGCCACTGATGCGACCTCGGACCCACGTAATACTCTGTACCTTGGACACAACGATCATGCATTACGTTGGACACAAAGGAAAAAAAGAGCAGAGCATAGCCTCTTCTTGCAAAATGTCACAAACATGCATCAGCTCTGACAGTCTGCATCAACCATCATAGTCGGGTTAAATTCTTAGAGAGCTGTCCTATTTACATGGCCGCCTTCATCTGCTAATCAACTTTTGTTTATTACACGTGAATAACATGAATAACCTATACTGACATAGGATGCTATAGCCTATAAAAACCCATCATAGTCGGGTTAAATTCTTAGAGAGCTGTCCTATTTACATGGCCGCCTTCATCTGCTAATCAACTTTTGTTTATTACACGTGAATAACATGAATAACCTATACTGACATAGGATGCTATAGCCTATAAAAACCCATTAGTAAGGCATGGACACTCACGGAAAAGCCTCTACCCTCTAGTGTTCTTCTTCTACATTTGGTCAGACACCTGTATCTAGAAAATAGCGAGAAAGAAATGTCTCTTCTGATTTCAGGAATCCCATCTTCTTCTCCTGCTCAACAACGGAGCCACGTTGCTCAACGCCGGTCTGGAAATTTTCATCCGAACATATGGGGGGATTACTTTCTCAAATATACTTCTGACTCCAACTCAATGGTAGCATTTAAGTTGTTCTTTTTTTATTTTAGGATTACTTCCTGAAATTTTTCGATGGCTATATTTTCTGAAAAATGAGAGCATATAAAATAATTTTCTGGGATCGTTTGGGCATCATCCCACAGCATTTGATAAAGGAAAAGAAAAGAAGTTCCAGTTGATTGGGAACTCCATGCATGTGTTGGTCCTTATGTGTTTCAGAATTTCTATGTGAACCTTGTGGCATGCACATATGGCTTAACAAATGTAGAAAGAATTTTGCTTCTATCATCCTTACTAAACTTATGTCATTTTCCTCTATTTTCTAAACTTTCAGTTTTATATTACTGTAGAGTTCTCAGGGAATAGCAGGGGAACGAATTGAGAGATTGAGAGGAGAAGTGAGAAAGATGTTGACAGGTGATATGGATAAGCCTTCGCGGAAATTGAACTTGATTGATCAAATCCAACGCTTGGGACTTGCCTACCACTTTGAAATCGAGATAGACGAGCAGCTGGAACAAATCCACAAAAGCTATTTTGAATTTCACCGTGGTGATAATGATGATGACCTACACACGACTGCTCTTCTCTTTCGATTGTTGCGACAACAAGGTTACAATGTTTCATGTGGTATGTCATTTCAAATTCTCATTGATCGATAATTGGCGAAATGCGTACACTAGTTTGATAGCCCATTCGATTGATTAGAGTGAACACATAATATTCCTGAGATGTTTATTTTACTCCAGTTTTGTTTTGTTCATTCAACTTTTTTCTTTGTACAATTCTCATATTCTGAGGTCTTCAAATTTTCTTGCTTTGAGAGGTGAATCGTACTTTCTTCCACTTCCTTGGCTTAGTACGTCATTTTTCCATTGTTACCAGTTGATCTAGATATTGTGCATGATGTTTTTCTTGGCATCTCTTGATAGCATCTTTTTCCCACGTTCCGTTTGGCTATACAGAAATCTTTAACAAGTTCAAGGACGATGAAGGGAATTTTAGCAAATCGCTCATCGTGGACGTGCAGGGATTGCTAATTCTGTTCGAAGCTTGCCATCTGGGGTTTCATGGTGATGATAATTTGAACGATGCACTTTCTTTTACTGTAACTCACCTTGAATCAATTGACAAAGGAAAAGTAAGCCGTAATCTCGAAAAAGAAGTGCGTCATGCCCTAAACCAGCCAATCCACATGGGACTGCCAAGGATAGAGGCGAGACATTACATTCAACTCTACCAAGAGGAGCCTTCGCATAATGAAGTCTTGCTCTCCTTGGCTAAACTCGATTTCAACTTATTGCAAGAGCAACACCAGAGGGAACTCGGCAACATTACAAGGTTCACTTCGTGAATAGCATGTCTGAAGTAGCCAGATGTTCTAAGAACACCAAATTGCCATGATTGATTTGTCCAATTCAAATTTATCCTTTTAACCAAATTTTTTTAAAATTTATCCTCAACTCAAAATCATTTGTACGGGACAATGAGTGTTAAGCTCTTTGGATCATCGTTCTACAGTACTTCTATATATAAACTCAAAATGCTATCAAAGATATGCTTGCCTTAAATAGGATTTATTGGTAAACTGTAGGTGGTGGAAGGATTTAGATGCGGAGAGGAAGTTCCCATTTGCTAGAGATAGGCTAGTGGAGCTGTATTTCTGGATGTTAGGAGTTTATTTTGAGCCAGAGTACAAAGCCACCAGAGAAATACTAACCAAAGTGATGGTGATTGTTAACATATTTGATGACGTGTATGATGTCTATGCCACAATGGAAGAACTGGAACTCTTCACGGAAGCAATTGAAAGGTACAGTTGGCACTCGGATGCCTTTCTCATTTACCAATTCCAAACTTATTCTAATTTGATCAGTTGTTAATTAGGGTCAAGTGTGATGTTTTTCTGAACTTGAACTCAGGTGGGATGTCGATGCCAAAGATGGATTGCCAGAGTACATGCAAGTGTGTTACAAGACACTTCTTGATTTGTATGATGAAATTGGCTACGAAGTGACTAGAAAAGGACAATCATATCGCCTCTTCTATGCAAAAGAAGTGGTAAGCAATTCGAGGTTACATCAATCAAATGCAATTTTTACTCCGTCCACTTGCAACAAAATATCAGGCTTTCAGATAAGGATGAGAGAATGTCATTTATCTAAGTCCACCACATACATTAAAGTTAGACTACTGACGTAGCTTTATGTTTGATAATGAATTCTCAGATGAAAAACCATATGAGAGCATACCACGCTGAAGCCAAATGGTTCCACCAAAACCACGTACCAACGATGGAGGAGTACATGCCCATTGTGTGACATCCCGAATTTCGGCCCATTTTTGGGATTTATAAAACGCGTAATTCGTCAGTGCGCTTATAGTAAAAATCTCGCCCGGGAACTGATCACTCCCGGTTATTATTTTTAAATCTTGAGATTTCGCTAGAATCGCATTCGATCGAATTTGGCCGTTATTTAGACCTCGAACTTGGCAGTCGATTTTCGGGAGTTTCAGGACGAAATAAATTGGATGGTGTCAATATTATTGTAGCCAGCGTTGAGATTGTCAGGAATAATGGAAAAATGGGAGTTTTTGACCGGGTGCGAATTTGGACTAGTAGACCTCCCTCGCTATAGTTTGATTTAATTAATTCGGCCTTTGTCCCTTTTTATATGCGAGGCTTATTTTGGACCAGTAGATCGCTTTCGGTTTTGAATTTGGGTCATCGGATCGCATTTAATATTTGAATCGTAACCGTTAAATCGATATTTAGTTTGAACCGTGTCCGTTGGTTCGTGCTCGAGGATAAATATTAACTTTTCTCTCTCTTTCTCTCTCTCTCTCCTCTCGCCGCGCCCGTCCCCCCCGCGCACGTTTCTCTCTCTCTCTCTCTCTCTCTCTCTCTCTCTTTCTTTTTCTTCGGCCGCACGCTCTCCTCGCATGCGTCCCGTCCCTCGCCCACGCCCATGCGAGACCCACCCCCGACACACTCTCTCTCTTCCTTTCTCCTTTTCTTCTCCTTCTTCTTCTTCCTTTCTCTTCTTCTTCTCCCTTGCCGCGTCTTCCAGCCCTCTGCGTCCGCTTCGTTCCTTTTCCCTGTTGCCCGACGCCGATCGCCTGAGCTCGCCTGGCCATCGCGCGCCGCCGTCGCTAGCTCGACCGCCGCGCCGCGCCGCCCGACCAGCCGCTTGCAGTTCCTTCGGCCGCCCCGTCACCTGGTCAATCTCCCCTCCCCCGACTCCCGTCCACCGCAGCTCCTCCCCGCCTCCGCAGCCGCCACTCGGTCGCCCTCCGCCCGACCCCGCTCCACCAGCCGCCGACGCCGCCGTCTCCCTCGCGCCTTCGCCATGCCGCCGCGTCGCTCGGCAGCCTCGTTCCGATGCTACCTTCCTCCTCTCCCGAACGCGCGCGAGCTCGGCTCGCCGCCGCTTGCCGCCGCGTCCGGCGAGTCCCGGCCGTCGTCCGGTCGTCCGGCCAGGCTCCCCTGCGCCGCCCGACGCCGAGTGTCGCTGTCGTCACCGCCGAGCGTCCCCCAGCCACACCAAACGCCTCAGCCAACTTCTTCTTCTCCCCGTTGGCTTTCCGACGTTCGTCGCCGCCGCGCCGTCGCTCCACTCGGCCATCCGACACCACCCGACCTCGCCACGAGGTCGCCGTGCCGCCCGTCACCGCCGGGTTCGCCCCTCTCCCTCGGTCCGACCTCTTTCTCTCTCTCTCTCCTCACCTCGCCCGCCGACTTCTCCCCTTCGCTCGCCGCCGCCGCGGCGCCGCCGCCGCCGCCGCGTCGCCGGCGCCGCGCGTCGCCGTCCCGGCCACCGCCCGCCAGCCGCCCGGCCGGCCGGCCCAGCCGTGTCGTAGCCGGCTCGTCGCCCACGCGACCAAGCCGCGCGCCCGTCGCCGTGCCCGTGCCCGTGCCCGTTCCCGCGCCCGTGCCCGCGCTCGTGCCCATGCGTGTGCCCGTGGCCGAGCCCGTGGCCGGGCCTTGTGCCCGTGGCCGAGGGCTGTGCCCATGGCCGAGCACTGTGGCCGAGCCCCGCGCCCGTCGCGCCCTTGCCCGCGCCTAGTTCGGCACTGTTCACCCGGGCCATTTTAGGCCCGAGCCGATCTTCTCCGGGCCAAAACCAAGTAAGTGACATTCTAATCCCTATTTAGTACAATGGGTATTATTAGACTTGTTTAGAGATTAATTAGAATTAATTCAATGACTAAGTTAGAAAATGAATTAGTTGGTTAGAATATGATTAGTACTTGAATTAGGTGATAAGTGGTGGATTAAATTGTGATGATTGCGTGGCAAATTGTGACGTGCTAAATATCCGTATTGTCTTGGCGTGTGTGAGAAAGTTGACGTGTGATTGTGGCCGGCTTGAATGTCGGAATCGTGAGCTTGTGAATTGGAATTGGGATGATCGTTGGTGTATGTTTGTGGCTATTGTTGGTGGGTCAATGATTGGCTTATCGTGGCATTTGTGAGTGGAATTGATAGCTGAATGTGACCGACTTGAAGGTCGGGTTGGTGGAATATTGTGGTGAGCATGCCTTGAGTTTGATTGGTATGACTTGTGAGAATGGCGAATTGTGTTGTGGCGCATGTGCATGAGAAAAGCCCGGATTGATCGGAGGGCTGCCAACCTGAGGCGTGGTTACGCGGGTGTGGCGAGAAAGGCATGACCAGACCTGAGGCGTAGGTTACGCGGGTCATTGGAAGGGGAAAAATGTCCTGAGGCGTGGTTACGCGGGACCGAGCCCGGCTTGATCTAAGGGCTGAGCCTGAGGCGCAGTAGCGCGGGCTGTGAGATTGGGCCTGAGGCGCAGTGGCGCGGGCAGTGTGAAAAGACCTGGGAGGTCGTGGAAAGTTGTTCGACCACGCATGCGAGTTGAGTGTGATTGAATTGATTGAACCGATTGGTGGCGATCGAATGTGTGATTGAATTGGTGGGATTGATTGAGTGCCAGTGTGGTTGGCGTTTGTTTGATTGTGATATGTTATTGAGTTAGTATTATTGTCTTGTCGCGATTTGACTAACGTGCAGAGTTAGTACGCGTTCTGATGGCGAGGTAAGTACAATGATGCGAATTTTATATGTTATGGGGTAGATTGCATGTCTGACTTGTCTGGGTACGCATTGGCCTACGTGGGGTTTAGGGTGTTGCTTATTGAGACTCGTTCTCACGGTTATTATATAACCATTTCAGATTCGCAACCGTGAGTGATTGGAGACACTGCAAGGGTATCTCGGAGATCGAGGACGGGTCAAGTATATTGTATTTTGAGTCCCCCTTTGTAGAGGAGTTAAGTTTGTAAACCTTTGTCCCTTTTGAGGAATGTGGTTCTGTTGTTGTGGCCTAGCTTAGGAATTGTCTTTTTGTAGACGTCGTATGTATCTGCCAAGTGTAGGAATTACAGTTATTGTTTTGTGCTATTGTTACCCCTTGTCATTATTAATTGTCCGGGTTGTTTCTATTTGTTTCCGCGCGTGCCTAATCTCTGATGTTTGGGTTGGGTCGGCGACGTGTCTGGGACGTCGCGTTCAATGATCGACCATCGCGGGATGATCGCGCGCTCGTAGGGTGCGGGGCGTGACATCCCCGTTGATTTGGTATCAGAGCAAGGTCAGCTCGAACCAAGATGGTCGAAGCTTGGAGTGATAAGGAGCGATGACTTTGGGGTAACTAATTAGGGAGACTTGTTGGCCATGCGTTACCTAGACTGCTTAGTTGTGATTGCTGAGTGATATTATGCACTAATACGTGAAATGCAGGTGCGACAGGACTTGAGGTTAGTGCACGATCGCTGTTCTTTGTGATTGAGTGGTGTTGTGATTGACTGCCTGCTTAGTGAATTGTTGTGATTCACTGCCTAGGGCTTAGACTGGTATAGTTGGCCTAGGTCTTTAATTCCCGAGGGGAATTATAGCAGGTAAGTGGGTGGTGTGAACCCTGTCAGTATGAGTAGCCGAGGTCGAGGTCGAGGTCAAGGTCGTGTAAGTCCGCAAGTTGGAGTTGTGGGGGATCCCAGATGGAACGAGATTTTGATGGCACTCGAGGAAGTTGGAATTTTAATGCGAAGGCAAACTGAGGAGCGAAATGCGACTATTACTACTGATTCTGAGGCCGCTGTTGCCGCCACCAATAAAAGTAACGGGAATCGTGGGCATAATGGAAATGTTGGGAATCAAGGTTAAGGGTAAGTTAATGCAGTTAGACAGATGCATCAGTTGGTTGAAATATTTTTTGAAATTTAAACTTGTGAGGTTCGATGGGAAGAGGTGACCCGGAGGCTACATTACTTTGGACGGAGGACTTTGAGGTATTCGGGTGCACTGATGATGAGAAAGTGACCCTGTGTGTATATCAACTCTAAGGAAATGCAAATGATTGGTAAGAGAACCCCCAAAGTAGGATAGTTCAAAGGGCATAATCCCAAACTGGGGTGTCGTTGTTGAGGCCTTCAATGAGAAGTACATTGAGAGAGTGCGCGAGGACAGAAAATGACCTAGTTTCTCCGGCTTCGCTAAAATCGGATGTCAGTCGATCAGTACGAGATCGAGTTTGTAAGGTTGCCTATGTATGCACCAAGGATGGTCAAGGATCATGTGGATAGGACAAGGAGGTTTCGGGATGGATTGGAACCGGAATTCCGCAATCAGTTAGTACTTTTGAGTCTTAAGGGATTACAATGAGTTGTATGAGAGAGCTCGATGGTTGACACGGATATGAGTGAAAAGGCTGCCGTTTCTGGATCGTGGTATGTGCCGGTTAGGGACAATTGGAACTTGGGAAGAAGTCTATGACAGAGAATTGGAGATTTGTCCCTCTAGTAAGAAAGAACTTTGGGAAGCCGAATTACTACTCCAACGCCGCATGTCTGTCTTATAGAAAGAGGCATAAAAATGGCCATTGCCAAGGTAGAAGTGGAGCATGTTGTGGATGTGGACAGTAAGGTCACCAAGTGAGAAATTGTTAAATCGACAGGGTAGGTCACTAATGCAATCGCATCGATCGCAGGTAGGACATTAAGCGAGGGCTGCCCCGCAGATTAATCAGAATCGGCTAAGGACGTAAGGAAATGTGTATGTTGTGATTGGGAAGGAATCAGAGAATTTGTCTTAAAAGCCTAGATGCATTATGTGATGCACGACGTATAATTGCTTATAATGGGTAGGCGCAATCGGTTTAAGGATTTCTAAATTACTGACGATATTCTTGGACGAGTCGGGAAGGATATGTGTTGCTTGGAGATTTCGGATTTTGTAAAGGACTAAGGCGATTATTTTGAGAGACCATTGGATTGAAATTGGATGGGTTG